GGGGGGGGGGGGTATTAGGACTATAGTATTGAATTAGTAGTGTGTATTATATTTATCCTTGTAATAGTGCTGAGTCATCACCTTTAGCTAGTGATTAGCATTGCAATAGGTCAGTTGTATATATATTGAACAGTGTTGGACATATTAAAAAAATCAATGATCATATTTTCAGTTTAACCGACTTTAACAGTTCTTTTACTTCTCTCTCTTCGAGAAGCTTCTGTGTGATTCAGAGCTTTCCACACTCATAATCTCGACAACGTTTAATTCCTACTCCTATATTGCTATGGGCAATTTTTAATTAAAATGCAAAGTTTTCTAAAATATATTCGTGCACACTATATTTCTTGAATTGTCTATCATACACCTCTCCAAATTTTTATTTTTAAATTGAAGTCAACCTTCTTTGTTAGAACGTTTCTTTTCTTTTTTTGGGGCGCATACTCATGACGACGGTAAAAATTTATCCGCACCGAGTGTTATACCAAGCCAATAAATGAATGAAACTTGACACCTTATTTAAATATAACTAATGGTCTTTTATCATAGTCAACTCTCATTTGTTTTGCACGTAATCTTAAATAATAATATCAAAATAATACTACTTACTTAATATTCTATCTATTTCTTTTAACGATACATTTAATAAATCGAAAAGAATGAACAGTGTCGTTAGAAAGCAAATGAAGTATCAAACAGCAGGACACCCAAATCTCCACCAAAGAAAACATGTTTTGTTAAGGTGAGAGCATTGCTATTGCATTAATCAAATAATTTTTCTGAATGTATTACAATAATCACAATTTTTATTGGTTTTTCCAAAGTCTTGTAAAATCTAGTAATTTTTCACAATTTCAGTTGTTTCTCTACTCTCCTCCTCTATATAAGTAACCCCGTACTTCCCCTTCTTCCCGTTCTAACTTTCAAAATTACTCTTTTGATCTTTAACGGAGAAATAAAAGTACGAAGACACTAGATGCAGAATGCTAGAAAATGATACCGTTGGTTATTTCGATTCTCTACCTATTTAATTTTTTTGGTTATTAAAATTAAAATATTTAATAGACTTAGTAATAAACTTTTGTTTATCTCTCATGGTTAACTTAACTATATTTGGTATAAACACCCAGTGTGAGTTTTATCCATGACGCCGGCTCTCTCAATCAAAGGATGATCTCTGTTAATCTACTGACTTCAAGATTTTAACTCAAGGGTTCCCAAAATTCTAAATATTTGAGCAAAAGTTATCCCATTTTTCAGTTACTACCTTTTTTTTTTTCTTCTAATTAACTACAAGGAGCTTCAGCAATTTCTCATCTTGATAAGGGATTGACCATTTTATTTAAAACTATACTAGGGGGTGATCAACAACATGATCCTTCTTTCATAAGAGGTGAATTATTTAACATCAATGTATCCATCGCGAATCAAGTCTTTATATATACTCACACACACATAGTACTTGTCATTGATAATAAATGAAAATCTTATAATTTTCAGTACTTTGTTTTCTTGTAAAATGATTCTATGGAGTTGTAATAGTTGCATGTAGGAAAAAGATTTCCTTAAAAACTTTTATTAACAGGGTAAAAGTTTACATATGCTCCATCTGTATAGAGCCATATCCTTCTTGTCTTCCTTTTCGGCGTTGACACGTTACACCAGCAACAACAAGTAGCGCAATTCCAAACACTGCCGAGGCCCCGACAGCTGTGTGTAATATTACATTCTCACCTCTCTGCAGAAATAGTTTAATGCCAGAATGAAGTGTCTACTGATAGAAGTTGCCAATAATACTTTTAATGAGTTTAAGATCTTACTCTAATATCTGTAGAATATTGTAGGGTAGAATTAGGCTTTGGTGATGATTCAGCAACCAAGATATAGAACAACCCCATAACTCCAGTATGTCTTTGGGTATTGCTATAATTTGATATTAAAGTTACAGTCTCCCCTTCCAATATTTTGATAGAGCCAGGTTTAGGATAACAAGTAGACATCCCAACGATGTAACCAGCTTCATTTCCTGCTGCCTTTCCTTTCCCATAGATCGGGTGAGATGAGCATATGACGCGTCCATCCTGTACCAATTCAGCAAAAAAAGAAATAAAGAAAATCATCAACACCACACTTAGTTACAGATGTCTGTAAATCTGTTATAACATGACCAAAGGTCAGCCCGGTGCACGAAACATCCCGCGTTTAAGTAGGGTCCGGGAAGAGGGCGTAATGTATGCAGTCTACTCTGATGCAAGAATCAGTGACAGATTCCACGATTCGAACCTGTGACCTTTAGGTCATACGGAGACAACTTTACCATTATAATATGACCAAAGAAACAAAATAAAATAGCTCAGAGTACCTGTCCGTGGAGGGTTGAACCAGTTCCTCCTACATGTAGGTGAGCAACTCCATATATAACATTTCCACCACTAGGAAAAGATACACTCATCTTATTTGTTTGAGTGCAACCGACATTTGCAACAGCGCCCCCAGAACATGACTCCACTTGATATTCAATCTGAAATGATCAGGAAATTAATTGCCTGAATTATTAGCCAAGGTAGCAAGAGCTATAATTAATAGTATGAACAAAAATATCATTTATTCGTGTGATTATTTCCACACGAACTCGTAATCTCCTGGTCACAAGTATGATATTCAGTAGTATATCACAAGTACTGAATATCACAAGTTTATATAGATGAAGAAAATAACACAAACTGCTCGATCGCACCTTGCAATTATGTTTTGGCACGGTTGCCGTTGAGTTTTGCGGTTTTTCCCATGTAATTGTATCGGTGACATCAAATATATATATCTTGACAGGTACAATGGAGGCATCCCAATCAATATACTTCACAGTATACTTGAGGTACAAGCTTTTCTTCGTACCTTTGAACCCTTTTTTCACCCTACATCTCATTTCATCGTAACAACATCTCATGCCTCCAATGTAATCTGGCTCTATTTTCCGGCCATTTTCGTCCTTAGTAACGTTATAAAGATCACACCTGCACTCAATACATCCCACTTTATCTTCGGCTCCACGCGTATCAATGGCGTGTATATTGACCAACCATCTCTCCTCGTAACCATCAGGTACTTCAGCCGGATTACCAATTTCTATTCCATAAGGATCTGGAACATATGTGGCTGTTTTTCGCGTCTCGGATCCTAGGCCAAAATACTGATTTAGAACACCATTGCACATCCCTGAATTTCTTTTAACAATTAAGTCTGATACGTTGAATTCTTCTACGCCTTTTCGTTGATAATATCTTACAACAACCCAGTGGTGAAGATATGTTTCGTATAGAGGTACAGAATTCCCTGCCTCATCAACTACTTGAGCATGAAAATCTTTTATAGCGATATGGCCTTTAGGGAAATCTATGTTGTAGTAATATTTGTTAGCAACCGATCCTGGTTTCAGCTCAAACTTAGGTGATACAAATACTGCAGATTTTACCCTGTCTTCTTTTCTTGGTTGACTTTGTGAACTTGCATCAACTCTTATTAGCAGTAACATTACTGCTAATGAAAGTAACTGGTAATTTGAACAGCTTGACATTTCACTTTCCTAGATGCTAATATACCTGTACAAATTAAACAGTATCTTCAACACTTGAACATAATTATTAATTTTAATTACAACCAAGGGGAGATAAAGTTGCTGCCATGTGACCACGTAAAGTTGCAAGGTAAGGCTGCGTACAATAGACCCTTATGACCCGCCCCTTCCCCGAACTCCGCACATAGCCTTTAATTTTAGTTACAATGTGTAATTTTGCCTAATTTTTATCAGGTTAACAACTCAAGCTTAATTAGTGTAAAAGATTGTACATAAAACTTAAATTCTTTGAATTATAAAACTAATTAACCTGATATGACCTATTAAGTTCTTCAATCATTACACTGAATCATTAGATAAACTACTAAACTGATGATAAGTTTTGACTGACAAAGTAGAAGGAAATTTGTAAAAAAAAATAGTGGAATTAAAAGAAACTTTTGTACTCGATTAGTATTTTCTTTCACCAAATAAATGATACAAGCAGAAGTGTAAGATTAATTTGATGAGGGTCAAAGAAAAAAATTTGGTTGGCGGGTGGACAAAATAAAATTGTAATTTAAAGTCTTTTTTAATAAAAAAATTAACAATGAATGTCCACCATAAAACCGCAAGCACCAAACTTTCAAATAAAAATTTGATTAACCTTTATTTGGTTAAATTTTTTATTTATCGAGTAAAAAGATCTTTTCTTAATTTAAAACCATTTTTTCACGCCTTTGTTTCTCAAATCAATGTCTGTTTCACTTGGTTAAAAAGTATACTTATCAGGTGAATAGTATTGAAAGTTTTATTGGATAAATCGGAGAATACTTTATATGGTGAAAATATAAAAAATATTATTTGGTAAAAGATTGAATGCAGAGCTCAAATTGGCATACTATAAAGAATTTTAGCACGTAAATTAGAAGAACCCATATAGCAAAAGAAGAGGATATAGACATTACCTGATATGGCTTTTGGGGCACTGATTTACTTTCTTTCCATTCAAGAGAGTAGGTATTTAGTAACTGGGTTTATATATATAATATATATATATATATATATATATATATAGTAGAAGCAAGTTCCAAAATACAGATTATGAAGTTGTTCTGACGATAATACTTGGTAAGTAATCTGGTTCTGGATCGATTAGTTACATATTCCTTTTTTTTTTGGTCAAAGTTAGTGGCATATTTTTGGTCAGAGCTTTAATAATTTTAATTTGGTATTCCTTCTAGTACTTTTTATTTGTTATTTTGACACATCCATTAATAACTTTTGAAGTGCCATTTATTTCTGTTATATTAAGTTCTTCTACAATAGATATATTTACCAAAGTAACATGGGCCAAATAAAATTAGTCGGACTTTTATGTTTATATTTGTTAAAAATATAAACATATTTATCGTAGGAG